TTCATGAATTAGAAGAAGTTCCAACTGAAGATATTCTAAATGATGATGATATTATATAATTAGTTCAAGAGGAAATACATGAAGAAAATGATACTAATGATGATTCTGAAGAAGAACCAATATTAATATCTCCAAATGAAGCTTTCAAATCTTTACAAACTTGGATTACATTTTTTGATCAACAGCAAATAGATAAATTTAACATTGAAGATGGTTATATCTTTAAAAAATACTTAAATATAGTAAGGCAGCTTGAAGTTCAATCTCAAAAGCAAGCTCTGATCACTGATTTTTTTAGTAATCATGAAAATTAAATAGAAAATTATGTAATCTGATAATATTTTTTCACATGATTTAATAAAAATCGTATATTAGTTAAATAATAAATAAAATATCATGATAAATTTTACTTATAAAGCTAACAATACTAATTTAACTTCTAAATAGTCACTATATATTTGATTATCATATAGTTGTGATTATATAAAGGTACCCTTTTTACAGTCATATCTTTATATAATCACCGATTTTGGCAGAACCAATTGTATAACTATATAGAGGTCTGACTGTATTTTTATTATATTTGTTTAAAATATTTGTTATATCAAGAGTTCGCTATATTATGAATTGACTGTAATAATTAGAAAATAATAAAAAGTCTTATACGTTATTTGAATTCTTTAATTACAATAATTAATCTCAGTTTAGATGTATCTTCTTCTGTTTATCACTTATATTAAAAGAACCTTAAAAATCTCAATAATAAAATAATAGATTATATTAAGTTAATAAAAAAATTATAATATCATATATATTATAACTTTTACTGTTTACAAATTGATAAGAAAATTGATAAAAATACAGATTTATTTTCTTAAAAAGTTAATAATTAAACAACTATTCAAATAATAATAGTCATCTAAAATTAATAACAGTTAAAAATAGTTTATTTATAAATTTACATAGTTATATTCAACTTCAGTAATGGAAGGTAAATATTGATTTGAAGTTCATTCTATATTTCAAAATATATTAGTAAAGCTAAACTGCAATCTTTAGTTTTTTTAAAAATTTTAGATTAAGTTCTTTATAATAATATTTCAGATAAATCAAATTTAAAAGTATTCTAAAAGTTACTTATTTATATAATAAGAGAGTTTGATTATTCAACTCAGAAAACTTATCATCTTTTCTTTCAAATTTTACTTTATTATAGTAATAAAAATTTTGTTTGCTTAAATCTTAATAAAAAGACAAGTTATTAGCTTGATAATAATAAATATAATAAAAATAATGAAATCAAAAAACAGATGCATTATCTTTGTAAAGATATTGCAATTAATTTACTAAATTGAATGATATATTATTATTTAGATTATATCTGCAATATAAGTTAATTAAAAAAGAAGGATACATTACTGTGTTGAGCTAAGTTTTATTTTTCAGTAACTCAATTTTAATATAGATTTAATTTTTGAGTTATTAATTAAATCTATAATAGTAAGATTTTTCGATTCTTGCCATCATATTAATAATAGGTTTAGGCAATTTAGGTCATGTGATTATTAAAAACATTAGAATTTACCTAGTATCACTAACACTTTATAAGTAAAATTTCACCTTCATATGATCGGTAATATATAATGGATATGAAATATATTTTTTTCATCACTTGAAAAATTGTCTTTAGAATACTAAAATACAGAGGTATAACTCTGGGTAATAAATATGAGGGTGAAAAAAGTGTTAATAATACTAGAGTAGATAGACGTTAGAGAAATTATTGCCAATTTGCCTTTTTAACAAAATTGTATATTTCTTTTCTTTTTCATTTATTCATTATAATTTGTTTATTTTCTGATAATTTATTTCTTTTTTTGTTAATTTTAATTAATTAATTAGTATTTAGTATTTAATTAAAAGAATTGTTAAGGCTATTTTCAAATATTAAAACCTTTTGCTTACCATTTATAAGTAATTCTATAATTGTTAAAAAATTCTGATATTTTTTTTTTTAGAAAAAATAAGTGAAATAGATTCTCTTATGTTTGAATTAGAATGGATAAAGATAAATCTAAGTTCAAAAAATATGAATTAAAAATATATAGAAAAGGAATAGATTGAATAATATTATATACAAATGAAAGTTAGATACTTTATGTTTAGTTGATTTAATTTATTATTAGAGAATATTGTCTTCAAGAATTAGTATTAAAGAAAGATAATAAAATATATCACTTTTAAATGATTCTTCACAATTTTTTTCTACTTCTATAATTATGAAGAATAATTATAATGTAATAATATATAAAAGGAATTTCAGAAGTAATAAATATTTTAACTTACTAAATATTTTAAAAAATGAAAGTGAGATATATTATAATTTTAGTTTTTCATTAATTGAAATAATATTAATAAGTGATATAAAAATAAGGCCTATAGTACTAATTATCCTATTATTACATATTTCTTAATATTATTAATAATGACTTATATTATATTTATTTACTATAATTAATTTTTATAATTATATAGTTTATGATATATAAAAATGATGAAAAAAAAGCAAGCAATATTTGATGCATATTTTATATAATCTTTATTAATTTAAGAATATGTAAATTTAAAATGTAATATTAGAGAAAAATCAAAAGTAAAAATTAAAACAAATTACTATTAATAGATAAGAAAAAAATATCTATCATAAATATTGTAATATTCTTAGCAAGGCATTATAATATTTAGCTAAAAATACTCAATAACAAGTATACTTATTCACATTATTTAAAAAATAATTAATACAATATTCTTTGAGCAATGTTTTAGTCATATTTTAAGAATATTTATCAATTTTTTTTCTTATTTGAATTCTTGATTTGTATAATTTTATATAAAGTTACAAAATATAATTATATAAATTTCAAATTAAATTATATTTTTATTTATAATAATCAAATTATTTTATAAAGTTAAATTAATAAATAATTTTTTTTTAAAATAATTTAAAATAATTTAACAATAAATTGTTAAGTATTTTTTAATAATTTAAAATAATTAAAGAAAAAAAATTACTTATATATTAATATTGAATGTCAATCATAATCTTAGCAATAGTATTAAAACAAAATTTTCATTATTTCTCAAAGAATAGAAACACAACTCGTTAATTTTTTTTTTAAAAAAAAAAAATAAGTAAATAAATCATGCGTTAATTTGTGCATTATTTGAGAAATTTAATATCCAGTTCTAATTTGAAATAGCTTTGATTGCAGGATCCATATATAAAATGACGGTCGGGATTCATAAATCCAGCTTTTTTTTGGTTCGGTGATCATTTAAAAAATATTTAAAAAAAAATGTTTTTTTGTTTATAAATTATTGTTCTATCATCTCTATATGACAATTGTTTATTATAATTTGTATACGGAAGAACCATCAAATGTTCGGGAAAGCACAAGTGAACTTTTCATCATTCGAATCGGCACGACCATACTTTATCATTCCAACTATTGGTATGACATTCCATTCTAACGTATAAGATCCATTAACTCCATTAAAACTTGGTGTAATATCATAAAAGCTATATCTATTTAATGTTTTATGCGATTTTATTCGGGCTGTAGATGAATTCGTTATCGTGGTTGACCACAGAATTATTTGATTTCGATTCTGTAAAGATAGAATGAATCAATCAGAAAGGATAAATGGCGTTACGAGATTAGGAATATGACTCACATAAGAAGTTGTTTCGTATTCAACAACAACTGATACAAAGATGGCTTTGGTATTAAATGTGAAAATCGGAGTAAAGTCTGTTCATAAAGAACAATTCAAATCAGATCAAATAGATCAAATGAAGTATTAAATTTATTAATTAAAATGTAATTTACCTGCATTAATATTCATCGTTACAAATGCATATTCTTTAAGGCCTTTATCTACAGTCTCTTCAAAGTCATAAAGCCAAACTTTAATATTCGTGACTTGAATACACGGGTTATGGAATGAAGGAGACTTCATTGAGTAATAAGCGTCGAATATTGTCGTTATGAAGCTAATAAATAAACAAACTAACAAAGCACGCGTAAAAAAAGGTATAATGCGCCGGAATATTATGTACATATTAAAAATATTGTCATTAAAAAGAGTTCGTCAAGTCAAAGGGTAAAATTATTAAAATTATCGACAAATTTAATTAGCCAAAAGTGGCTGAATTTTTCGTGCCTTGAAGGATAATATATATGGAAATTTAAAATTAAACATGCGTTACACCCGTTTGTCTGGGAAGAAAAAGAATTTTCAGAATATTAAAATGAATAATAATAATAATAATAATAATAATGACAGTGGTACTGATAATAGTAGTATCTAGAGTAATCAAAATAAAGTTTCATTGTTGATTATCTTTGCTGCTACAGGTACTGGAAAGAGCCATTTTGCTAAAAGGTTTTCAGATAGGTTTATAGATGGTGATGATTTGATCTTTAATGACAGTATTAGCAAGGATCTTTTCACACAAGGACGCTTTGATGATCTTAACGAGCTTGCTCGAAAGAGACTTGGTGAATATAGTGGTGATAAAATAATCTACCAACCAATAGAGTTGTATTTCATAGGATGGTGCATGCTACTGAAAAATATTATACACAAAATTTTATTTGGGATGATATTCATAGCACGGCTAACAAGATGAATTTAAAAGTTGCTGTTGATGGAGGTTATACTTTTGTTGATGTTAATAATTTTAAAGAAAAAGATGAGGCTTTCTTAGAATTTGCTGATGAGTTAGAGAAAGAACGTAAACTGTTCTATAAATAACGTAAACTTTATACCATCTCTTAAATGGTAAAGAATTTTTCATTCAAATTTTAGTCTTAATTTATTTACAGTTTAAAAATTGTTTTGTAATTTTTAAATAATAAAAATAGATATAATATATATAATAAATTTCCAACCTTTATAAAAAAAATATTTTTATTAAAAATATTAAGATTGACATTCGGGATAATGTGATTTCGGGAAATTTTTTTTTTTTCTTTTAGATTATGAACCTACAGGATTTATAGCTTCGGGATCTCGTACCAGCTTTATACATAAATTCTGCAATATCGTAATCAATTGCTATCCAAATCAAGTGAATTTTGCAGACAATTTTGGGACTGTCGTTTCTGCGGTTCAGGAAAATTTGAAGTAGCCGTCCCTTATTTAAAGGAATATGTTGTCTTTCCCATCGGTTGAAGTTGATACCGGCGTATTATTTATTCTAAAAAAATAAAATAAAATAAATCAATCAATTTTCTTTTTTTTTTTTTTATCCATTAATTGTGAAAATTCTTGAACAAGTTCCTGCTAAATGGAATGATAAAATAGTTCCCATCACTTCAGAATATGTTACTTTGAAACATATTCTTGATTGATTAGCCAAAGGTAAATAATTATATATATATTTGACAATAAAAAAAAAAAAAAAATTTGTCCTTGATGAAATCTCAAAATTTTAAT